AAAGGATGGCTCTCAGAGCCCACTGGTCCTTGAGAATCTTCCATCGAGTCTTTGAGATCAAAATGCTTTTAGTAGCCAGGTGTGGTGGCACACACGCCTGTAATCCCAGCAGACCTTGAAGGCTGTCAGGAGGATCACAAGTTTGATGCCAGCCCCAGCAACTTAGTGAGGCCCTGTCTCAAAATAAAAAATAAAAAGTGCTGGGGATGTGGCTCAGTGGTTAAACATCTCTGTGTTCAATCCCTGGTACCAAAACAAAACAAAACAAACAACAACAAAACCCAAACACAAACAAACAAAAATGCTTTTCTTAACAAGACGATGTTATTTGCCTTTTTCACTTCCATGCTTTTATAGGAGTACCTGGAATTTTCCAGAAGTTACATGACATGTCTTCTATTAAGCCCTAAATTAAAGAGATTCGCAAAAATGCAAAACAGTGACACTTTTCTAAATTTTTGGCAAAAAATACAGGTATTTTCATTTAAAATGTACATGATTTGTTATAACACAAATAGGTTTGTCCTTACTATTTAAATAAGTGTTTTTAAATTCCTCAGCAAATACCAATATAGTAAATCTCAATTGATTTACTCACATAAAGCAAAAGCTCTTTGGGGTCCTCAGTACTTTTTGAGAATATTAAGGGATACTGAAACTAAAAATTTGAGCATTGCTGCTCTATACCATGACATCTCCAGAGAGGGGAGGGAGAGTGAAGAGCTCATGGGTACAGGGTAAGAGAAACCTGGAAGTGAGTGCTGGGCTTCAGTTGAGAGCTCTGTCCTCTGTCCACGTCAGTGTAGGAACCAAGACTGCTGGTCCCCATCTGAACTCAACCTCTGCCAGCAGGGTGGATGTCTCTGCTCTGAGCTTAGGTTCATGTTCTTCCACCCAGGAATGCCCCTGCCCCTTGACACCCACTTGTCGCAGTGTCCAGCTGTCTGTGCTGCCGTCCCCATGCCAGCCTGGGGAAGCAGTGGGGGTGGGGAGGGTGGCTGGGGCAGCTGGGCAATGATCCCCACCCGTCCCTGGCACAGCTCTGCCCAGCACACAAAGGGCAGAGTGAATCTTGTCCCAACCCGTGCAGCTGAGGAGCTGGGAGGAGGAGACGGAGAGGCACACACAGAAGGGTGGCCACCATGGGGCTCTCCATCACCCAGAGCTCTCAGAGGGCAGCCCAGAGACAGATGCAAAGGAGGAGTCTAGGTCCTGTGCATAGCTAGTGAGGGGTTCCCTGGGGGATGATGCAGGTGATGATAATGATGATGACTAGACTTTACATCAATGATGACATTGGAGCTTTCCAATGACCTTGGGAGGTAGAGGAGACGGGCAGTAGTAGTCCCATTTCACAGATGAACATATGAAAACCTAGAAAAGCAGAATGACTCACTGAGTCTCATAGCTGTCAGTGGAAGCACTGAGACCACCACTTATCAAAGGAAAGAACTCTGGACTGTCCAGTAGGAGGCTGCTGCTCTGTCTGGTGACAGTCTTGTGGTTGCATATAATTAATTACATGTGGCTATGTGCTTGCTTCTTGTCCTTGGCAGATTCACAGGAGCACCAGGAAAGTATGCTTTTTTCTGTTCAGGAGGGCAGCCTGGTTGGGAAGACAGGGCAAACAAAAGCTCCAATGTGGGTACTAAGTGGCAGATAAAGGTACAACAGAGAAGTGAGAGGATTTCAGAGGAGGGACAGCAAGGTCACAGAGCAGGTGCCTTGGCTCTTGGCCTTTTAGGGTCGGTGGCATTCAGATGGCTTAAGAATAGGCCTGGAAGACAGAGGTTGGTCTGGGGGTCTAGGTTGAGGGCTGCAGATGACCAGCTAAATGTTTCTCCCACTTCTTCCTCCAAGGAGCCCGAGACCTCTACCAGGTGGTGTCAGCACCTGAACTTCATTTATGAAACTTGACAGCACCCTTCGCCAGCCCCCAAAGATAAGTTTTTTATTTTATTTTATTTTTTTAAGCCATGAAACTGTGAGAGCTACAACCTGCAGCAGAACAGAGGACCTGGGAAAGAGAACTGAGGCTTTTTTCCGGAAGTACTCATGGCACCTGCTCAGAGCAATCCCCATTACCAGACATTGCGGCCCCCTGAGATGCCCACAGGGACCCCGAGATGCCTGCAGTTCTCCTTGGCTTTCCTGCTGGCCTGGCAAGCTGCCCACCTGGCTCAGGCCCAGTGCGTGTGAGTCAGCCATCAATCCCAAGGTTTCCAGGACAACTGGGGAGGGAGAGCAAGCCTGGGGGGCAGCAGGGTGGGCACTGCGGGGGAGCTGTCGCCTACATCTGGCACCTCCATACAGCTGAGGCCAAGCAAGAAGACACTTGCTCCCCCTCCCTCTCCTTCCCCCTCCCCTCCCCTTCCTCCACTCATCCTAGGATACTCTTCTGCTGGAAGCTTAGACAAATATTTAAAGGGGCAGTTGGGGGTGGGAGGAGCATGGTAGGAACAAACATTTCCTTCCCTCTCTTCTTCCCCTAGCGGCTCAGGGGCTCTCAGCTCACATGCCATGCTGTTGGACAACCTTGAAGCTGAGGTCCTCCAGCTGGAGAGGGATTCCTTTGGGGACAGGGGAGCCTGCCAGGGCTGAAGAGTAGGGGGCCAACTCCTGGTCAAGGAGCAGGGACAAGGTGTGAGGGAGCCTGGAACCTGGGTGACATTTTAGAGTTAAAGTGCAGCTGGTTCTCTGTATCCATGGGTTTCACATTTGCCAATTCAACCAAAAGTAGATGGAAAGTATTTGTGGGAGAAAAACACTGTCCGGGCTGAACATGTACGGATTTTTTTCCTTGTTATTATTCCCTAAGCAATCCAGTATAACAACTATTTGCATATCATTTACATTGTATTAGGTATTATAAGTCATCTAGAAATGATTTAAAGTATATGGGAGGCTGACTGTAATCCCAGTGGCTAGGGAGCCTGAAGCAGGAGGATTGCAAGTTCAAAGCCAGCCTCAGCAACTTAATGAGGCCCTAAGCAACTCAGGGAGACTCTGTGTCTAAATGAAATATAAAAAAGGGCTGGGCGGGCTGGGGATGTGGCTCAAGCGGTAGCGCGCTCGCCTGGCATGCGTGTGGCCCAGGTTCGACCCTCAGCACCACATACAAACAAAGACGTTGTGTCCACCAAAAACTAAAAAAAAAAAATAAATAAATATTTAAAAAAAAAAAAGGGCTGGGGATGTGGTTCAGTGGTTAAGCACCACTGGGTTCGATCTCCAGTACCAAAAAAATAAAAAATAAAAAACAAAGTATACAGGAGGATGTACATAGTTTACAAGCAAATGCTATATGCCATTTTACATAAGGGACTTAAGCATCTACACATTTGGTGTATATGTGGGGAGGGTCCTGGAACTCATCTGCAGGGTCAGGAGGGATTGCTGAGTAGGAGGACAAGAGAGTCGGGCCAAGAAAAGGAGGTGTTGCATTCTGGGTCACACATTCATGAAAGTTAAGGACTTTGGAGACCACCTGGCCCAGCAAGCGAAGGGGAGCCCAAGAGATAGGGTGAGGCCAACTCCAATGAGTCCAGCTCCAAGTTACTGATAGATTGAGCTGGTGCACTAAGCAGCAGGAATGGGTAAGAGTAAGGCAGGGAGAAGGAGAGGGAGGTCTGGAAAGTGGGTGGGATGTGGGTACATACAACTCTCAGGGGACATTTAGTTTTGTTGGTTTGGTCCTGGGAATTGAACCTCGGGCTGCTTGACCGTGGAGCCACATCCCCAGGTCTTTTTATTTTTTATTTTGAGACAGTCTTGCTACACTGCTGAGGGCCTGGTTAAGTTGTTAAGGCTGGCCTCTGACTTGAGATTCTCGTGTATCCACCTCCCCATTTGCTGGGATCACAGGTACACACCACCTCACCTGGCTGTGTTCTGTTTTGTTTTGTTGATACTAGAGATTGAAACCAGGGGCACTTAACCATTGAGCCCCAGCCCCAGCCTTTATTTAATATTTTACTTTGAAACAGGGTCTCACTAAGTTGTTTAGGGCCTTGCTAAATCGCTGAAGCTGGCTTTGAACTCATGATCCTCCTGTCTCAGCCTCCCGAGCGGCTGGTATTATAGGCATGTGCCACTGTGTCCATCTGGCTGTTTTGTTTTTGAGATGAGGTCTTGCTATATTGTCCAGGCTAATTTCTAATTTCTGGGCTCAAGGGATCCTCCTGCCTCAACCTCCCAAGTAGGGAGACCGTAGGAGTGTGCCACTGTGCTGAGTAGCATCCAAGGATATAAAAGGAGTCCAGAGGGATAGGGTGATAAGCCGGCAGGCAGTGTGGGCTGATTCAAAGACAAAAGATTGGGACCACAATCAGCCCTGTACAAGGATGTCCCAGCCTAGGAAAGCAGTGTCAGGCATGCAATCTGTCATCAGAAGCTTGCAGCTCATAGACCAGCCCAGAGCAAAGAATAACCCCCGCCCCATCCCCACGAAGAGTTTTCCACCAGTGGGGACAGATTCTCCAGAATTAGGAGATGAATGACTGGGGGCCAGTCTGAGGTTAGGTGCAGGATGTGTGGGAGGTGGCAGGCAAGGCAAACAGGAATTCAGCCCTTGGAGAAATGCACATTGATGGACACTCCACTCCAACTGATGTCAAAGCCCCTCCTGCCTTCAGCAGAGCCCCTCTGGGTCTCCTGCACTGCCTCCTGTGCCCCCTTTCTGGAGCCCATCACTACGCTCGGGGAAATTCTGTTGGGAACTGGGACCCTTAGCTGGGAGAAGTTCACCTGGCAGCAGACAGAAGGGAAGCACAGGGCTGTATGGGCAGGTGCCAGCAAGAAAGGCTGGACGCCAGGAAGACACCCACAGCAAAAGGTGCAGGTGGCCTCAGGGCAAGTTTGCTCAGCTCACCCAGGTTTGCTCTTGCTGGGGCCAAGAGGACTCATGTGCCAGGCATAAGGGCCCTTGGGGGCTCTTGCAGCTGGCTTATCAGGACCTTGGCTCTGGAGGGCCAGGAACAAACAGGCTTCAAAGCCGGGGGCTTGGCTCGCAAACAGGGGACCCGGCCCTTCACTTCTGTCCCCTCTCCCTGTGGGATACATATAAGACCCTGGTCCCAACTGCGAGGTGAGGAAAGGAGAAGGCCTGCCCGCAAGATGGATACAGGCAGCAAGGAGGTCTTGATGGAGAGCCCACCGGTGAGTGTGGTCAGCTGTGTGAGTGGGGGGTGGTTGTGTACACAGATGTGTACTGGGTTCCGCCTCCTCCATCCTTCCTGGGTCTGTTTCTTCATTCGTGTTCATTCACTCAACCAGCCTAGGACAGTGCTAAGTTAGGATGGGGACACCAAGACCACTGGCACAGAGTCCTTGGGGGAGAGAGACAAGGAAGCCCACAATTCCGATAAAAAGGGGCTGGGAGCCACCACAGGGGTCATCGGAAAGGGCTCTAGAGAGCACTGACAAGAGCCACTAAGTACTTGGGAGATCATAGGAGGGAGTAGGGGTAGGAAGAAGTAGTAGCATGGATAAAGGCCTGGAGGTACAAGAGCCTGGATCATTGGGGAACAGAGGTTGCCACAACTGGGGTTTGGGGAGTCTAGAGGAAGGAGCAGCGAGCCAGGCTCTCCTGTGTCCCTTCTAACCTGGGGGCTTGTTGGAGTGCGGGCCACCTCACCCCAGCAGGCTCCTCTGATCTCAGTCTCCTGTGTAGATCCACAACACTGGCTGTCCAGCCCTGAGAGGGCATGGGAGTGTGTCCAGTTTGTGCAGGGAAGGGAGGGGACATCCTCATGACCTCACACTTTTCTCCCTGCCTGCCATCTTGACAGGACTACTCAGCAGGCCCCCGGGGCCAGTTCCGCATCCCCTGCTGCCCAGTGAACCTCAAACGCCTTCTCATCGTGGTTGTGGTGGTGGTCCTTGTCGTTGTGGTGATCGTAGGGGCCCTGCTTATGGGTCTTCACATGAGCCAGAAACATACTGAGATGGTGAGCAGGCCTGGGATGGGGTGAGCAGCAGGCACAAGGCAGGTCAGAGAGGCTGTGTGGGTTGGGCACATAGGAAATCACCCAGGGGAGTGGTGGGGAGCAGGCAAGGACAGAGACGGGAATGGGTGACACCTGACCTAGCCATTTCCAGCAGGCTCCTGTCCCCCAGTGTGACAGCCAGTTCCCTCTCTCTAGCACCTGGTTCTGCTTACCTTCCCTGAGCTCTCAGGAAAGAAGGAATTTCTTTTGAGTGAAGGAACCTGAGGATAGGCAAGGGTGCTGAAGGGCCGAGAGGGGAAAGAAGACTGTCATGCCACACTATAACCCCAGGTCCTCGAGATGAGCATTGGGGCACCAGAAGCCCAGCAACGCCTGGCCCTGAGTAAGCATGCGGGTACCACTGCCACCTTCTCCATCGGCTCCACTGGCATCATCGTGTATGACTACCAGCGGGTGAGTATGCCAGTCCGGGGAACCAGTGACAAGACTTTGCTAGAGCCAACCAGCTGTGCTACTTCACTGCACCCATCTCTCCCTCTCCCTTAGCCCTTTTGCCTCCCTGGGGTGCCTGAATCCCAGACTCCAATGTGACTCCCTATGTGCTGTCTAGAGTGAGCTGGCTGAGGACCAGGGTTGGGGAGCCAGCGAGGCAGGGACTTTCCCAAGTGACCTCTAGCATTCCATGCCCAGCTCCTGACTGCCTATAAGCCAGCCCCAGGAACCTACTGCTACATCATGAAGATGGCTCCAGATAACATCCCCAGTCTTGAGGCTCTCACTAGAAAGTTCCAGAATCTACAGGTAGGTGTGTAGGTGAAAGGAGTGGTCTGTCTCCCTCCCAGCACTGCAGGGAGGAGTGTTTAAGGTGACAGCTATTTGTCACCTGTAAAGCACCGCTTCTCTTGGGCTGCCAGGTGAGTGTCCCTTTATACCCTCAGCCAGCACCATAGCTTCCCTACTGTTCTTAGCTGCCCACGGTCAGGGTACTGACCTCAGCTGAGCCCACATACTCCCTGTGGGCTTCTGACTTCTGGTACTATACTTGTGGGGAAACTGAGGCTTAGGGAGGCTGCCCAACATGCCTGGGGTCCCCCAAAAGGGCTGCATGATGAGAAAGAAACTCGGTTTTCAGATTCCAAAGTAGGTTCTCTTTTCAGGCCAAACCTGCAAACCCTAAGCTGGGCCAGGAGGAGGGGCATGAGGGAGGCTCTGCTTCCTCAGGAGGAGACCTGGCCTTCCTGGGCCTGGCCGTGAGCACCCTGTGTGGAGAGGTGCCTCTCTACTATATCTAGGACTTCCAGGTGAGCAACTGTGGCTGCCAGGGCACTGAGCAGCAGCGGGAAGGTCTTGGGACTCTGGCCATGTCAGCTGTTCAGACACTGGGGATGCCCAGAAACCAGTGGTCCAGGGAGCTCAGGGGAGGAAGGCTCACAAGACATAGGCGTGGGCACCCGCGGGGCTCTCTCTCACACATGATAAACAACGCTGTTGCTTCACAGGATCTGTGGGAGCGAACCAGGCAGGAAAGATCTGCAAGCAAAGGGGAGAAGCTGCTCTGGTTCACACCCCAGGGACTGACCCTGGAGAAACGGGAGCGAGGGTGTGGGATGTGTGGGGGGGTGTATGGGGGAGAGGTGGTTCCTCTGGGCCACGGGATTCCTATCACAAAAGAATAAAGCAACTGATTGAAAAACAAAGGGTCCAACTTGTACCTTCCGACACCTTCGAAGTCCAGAGTGCTGGGGCCGGCTCGGGGATGGGGAGGGCCTTGGGGGAACAGTCGGGGTTTTGCCGTGTCTCCTCTGTCCCAAGAATTTTGGGGACTCAGTCCATCCCAGATTGGGGAGAGGGGGCAGTGGGGAAGGGACCCGGGAACTATCCACGGGCGTGAGGCGCCCTCCAGTGGTGTGTCCGGAGGGAGGGGCAGAGACAGAGACAGCGAGAGAGACCAAAAGAGAGGGCGAGATGGGAGAGAGCGAGGGTCGGAGGGAGGGAGGGAGAGACGAGAGATGCCGGCCAGACAACGATCGCAGACGGAGGGACAGAGGCTGAGGTGGCGGAGAGTCCTGACAGCGTGTCCCGCCGCCGGGAGGGGCTCGGGCCGGCGGCCGCGGGGCAAGTCGCCGCTAGGGGGCCCCTGGCGGGAGCGGCGGCCGGCCGGGCACCCCGGGCGCCGGCGCCCCCTCCCCGGCCCCGGCCCCGGCCCCGCGCCCCTCCCGGGCGGGCGGCGCGGCTCCCTGCCCTCCCCGCCCGGGCTGGCGCGCTTCCCGGCCGGGCCGAGCACAGTCCCGGCCCCGAGGGGGGCCGAGCTCGGGCGAAAACCCGCCCTCCAGCGAGCTCATTTCCCTAAGGCGGGGGAGAGAGAAAGGAGCGAGCGCAGGGAAGGGCGAGGGAGCCGCGGAGCAGGGCGAGCGCGAGCCGCTGCGAGCGGGGGGCGGGAGACAGGAAGCGGGAAGGGAAGAGGTAGGCAGCGCGGGGGGAGCGGGAGCGAGCGGGCGGCCAGCCGCCGGGAGCGCCTCCTCCTCGCCGCCAGAACTCGGTTCCCCGCCGCCGCTCCCGCGTCCGGGTGCGACCCGCCACCACCGCCCGCCAGCATGCCCGGTGTGGCCCGCCCGCCGCTGCCGCTGCTGCTCCGGCTGCTGCTGCTGCTGCTGCTGCTGCTCCCGCGCCCCGGCCGGCCGCTGGACTTGGCCGACTACACCTACGACCTGGGAGAGGAGGACGCCCCGGAGCCTCTCAACTACAAAGACCCCTGCAAGGCGGGTAAGCGCCCCCCAGCCCCCCGCGGCCAGCCGGGGCGCGCGGAGCCGGGTGCGGGCAGGCCGGGCCGGGTAGGGTTTGGGGTTGGGGGAGGACAGTCCAGTGTGGGAAGCCGGGAGCTGCCTGGTTGGCAATGCAGTGGGGAACAAAAGAACGAGGGAAAGAGGGAGGGGGAAGTTTGGGGGACTTTTAGGACTGAAGTTTTGCTGCTGTTGGTGGACGGCGCTGCTGCTACCTCTTGCCCTCCCAGAGGATTCCTGGGGAAATCTCCCTGGGTCCGAGAGAATCCCGCGGGCAGGGAGGTTTCCTTCTGCAGGAAACTTTTCTGGTCAAACTCTCTCTCTGTGTATGTGTGTGTGTGTGTGTGTGTGTGTGCGCGCGCGCCCTCGCTCGCGTTCTTTTCCCTTCTCCCCCCATCCCTCCAGCTCTGCGGAACACTGGTGTTTGCCAGCCTGTCTGTCCGTCTCCCCCGCCCTGAGGCTGCACATCTGTCTAGGTTGGTGCCTGGAGGCCTGCAGCTCCAAGGAATAGGTCTCCCAGCCGCCACCCCATTCCAAGGGGAAGAGTAAAGTTTTCCAGGGATTCTGTGGGATCTTTCTCCTAGCCTTTGGTCCTAGCCAGCAGCAACAGCTTTCTGGGACTCAGGAGATAGCTGTCAAAGTCAGAGAAGGAGGGGACACACCTGTGTCCCTGTGTGCCAAGAGGGCCCTGCCAAGGCCAAGATGGGGTGGAAAAGAGGACACACAAAGAGAACTCAGATATTCGGCATCAGCCTTCTTACCCTACATACAGCAGAGGCCAATTAGGTGAGGTCAGGGCCACAAGAGAGAAAGAATGTGCGTTGTCCATGAGGACCCTCTGTAACCCCTTTACTACTTCTGGGACCAGAAGAGTCCTGCCCCTGGAGTGACCAGATGGCCAGGCACTCAGGCCATTGGCCTGATGGGATGACCCTGAATAGGCTGCTTGGAATGCTCAGGGGATGAGATATCAGAATTTTTCCTCGATTTCCTGCCTCTGTCTTCGGCCTGTCTCTAAATAGCCAGAGCCAGGGTCATGGTTCCTAGAACTGTAAACAAGGGGATGGGTGGGGGCAGGCCACTCTAGCCCTGGCCCTGGAATCCTGGTCAGGCACACTCCTTGCCCTCTCTCTCCTCACTTAGGGTGGAATGGGAGACCTTCTTCCTCCGTATCTGCTGGCTGTGGGCAAGCTGGGATGTGAGCTGTCATCTTTCTTGCTAGGTGCATGGGGTGAAGAGGAGGCAGAGTGGATAGGTCATGGGCTCAGGAGGCAAGCAGAACTAGTTTTCAATCATGGACTCATTAGCTCTCCTTCTTGGGAAAGGTAATCATCATCTCTGACCTTCGGTTTTCTCACCTGTAAAATGGGACTGTTAATATATCTCTCCATAGAGCTGCTGGTAAAGGCTAAATCTGAGAACGTATTATCACTTACCACATAGTAAGCACTAAAATGTTGGCTTCCTAATCCCCTGTGTTTTGTGCCTCTGACTCCCACTTCATTTTAAAATATATATATTTTAGGGGGAATGATCTTGGTTTTTAGGAAAAAGTAATGTCTCCTTGACACCACCCTTTTGTCCCTTCCCCATTCGATGCTCTACATTTCTACATTCCTGATGCCTAACATGTCCCAGGCCTGATGTTGTGGGAGGTACAGAGAGGTGCCAGTTAGGTCCCTGCCTTCAAGGGTCTTATAGTCCAGCAGGGGCCAAGAGTTCACAGACATAACCAATAGCACCACCCAAGGTATGTGAAGTGCCATACTGGAGGATAGGAGGCCCCTTGCTCCCTCTGTAGCCCTGTTGATGGGGACTGCAAAGTGATTAGAGGGGCCTGGGAAGGTCTGTGGAGCCTTCATGGAGAAGCTGGGGCAGGGGTGGGGGAGGGGAGGCCTCAAAGAATGGGTAGGAAGCCATGCTGATGTTGGAAATGGGAGCGATTTTGGGAACAGCAAGAGGCTGAGGGCTGTATCCTCAGTCTCAGATTTCATGCTAGGGTGGGGCTGACTAAGTTGGAACTTTCAAACAAGGGCTCTGGAGAAAGTTCTCCACCAGGGTGAATTGAGGCTGGTGGGGAGCTGGGCCAGGCTTGGGGGTGGCCGAGAGGGCCAGGGAGCCTGACAGGGCCAAGCTTCAAGGTCAGATCAGGCCTCCCTCTTGGGTGTGACTGATGCTCAAGTCCCATGGCCCATCCCTGGAGGAAATTGGATTCTAGTTCCTGGAAACACACACACCTCTGCTGAGCCTGGCCTGCCACCCCCGAGCTGTGGGTCCCCCAGCTGCCCTCTCTGTGCTGTCTCCTCCTGCCTGGCCTTGCTTCTTGGCCCTTTTGCATCCAGGCTCCAAGATGCGGAGGCGACTGGCAGGCACTGGCCTCTACTTCCTTTGAATGTGGCTGGTGGCCCTGCTTACCTCTGTTCGCTCCACCCTCCCCAGCTCTCTCCTCCTCCTTCGTCTGCCTCACGTGCACTAAGGACCAGCCGTGAAAGCCCCTTTGACTCCCACAGCCCACCTGTGATCTCTTAGGTTGCTCTGAGGATAACCAGGCTCTGTCATTTGAAGTTTCATTTGAAGTCACCTCTGACAGTTGCTGTTTGAGTTATGGTTACTATTGCAGTAAGGGCAAAATTAAGGCCCTTGATACCCTGGAGAAGTTCCTGGACCTTCTGTGCAGCATCGTACAGTGGACAGGAAGCTAGGCTGGTCTGTTGGTGTGCTCAGAGCAGTTTCCTCAAGCCCGCTCTCTAACGCTTGCCCAGGGAGATTCGAGGCAGCCCCGATCTCTTGTATATTGGGATACTAAACATCAAAGGGGTCCTTCTCTACAATTTCCAACATTGCCAGTGACCCTCAGGGATCTGGGAGAGAGTTGGAGACAGAAATTGGGGCATAGTTCATCCCACAAGCAGAGAAGTCCATGGGACCTGACCCTGAGCCAGCGAGGCCCTTGCTTCCACCCTGACCTCAGCTGGCAGCTTGGAGGTCTGGGGGAGGTGCAGTGGGCAGCAGCTCCCCCAGTGCTCACCATCACCCTTGCCCTAGTGGCCTTGTGGCCGAGCTAAGGACTTTAGGGTGTCTTGGGGGTGGGATATGAGCACAGTCTCTTCTGTCAGAAGACCACATCCCGCCTTCCAGACACACTGAGTCACCCACCCACCTAAGCCTCTACTTTCTGAGTCACCCTCTCTTTTAAGTGCCCCAAGGGAAGAGGAAGACTATTCCCTGGGCTCTGGATGGAGGGGACTAGTGAGATTCCTCAGGAAGAAGGCATTCCTCAGGATTCAGACTCCAGAGATTGAGGGAGAAAGTATTGGGGGAGGGTGGCAGAGGAGGGATGGAATGGCCACTCCCCAGGCCACTGTGGACTTCTTAAGGAAGGATATCTATACTGAGAGGCCTCAGCTAATCTCCCTCTCTCTCTCCCTCTCTCACGCATGTGTGCACCCCCATGCATTTCTAGGGCACCGTTCTCCTTTGGGGAGTGTGGCCTGTGAACGGAGTACACACCTGCAGTTAGAACTTGCACAGGGAAGTGGCTGATTGTGCACATTTGTTTGTGTCCTTGCTTTAAAGCGGGTCTGTTCACCTGTGTGTGTTTGATTCCTGAGTAAGCACAAGTGTAAATGTGCTCCTGTTGGCCAGTAGACAAGTGATGAAGTTCATTTGCATGTTTGGGGGTCCCCTCAGTGTGTCCTCCCCCACCTAGAAGCCTGTCCTATCCTGCACCTATGGCTTTGGGTCTCCATCACACCAGCCAGGTTTCTCTCCCTGCCCTGGGTGAGGGGATTCGGAATCCAGAGCTCACCTTGGGGACAAAGTTCCTCCCCCGGTCCAGGCACATGGATGTTGCTGTGTCCCTTTTTCTGTTCCCAGCCTGGCTATGGAGAGCTACAAGTGCTCCTGTCTGGTTTACA